GGGCACTCCCCATTGAATATATGTACAAGAAAAGGAAGATACTTAAATTTTTTAAGATATTTTAAATTTGGGTTTGATTATTTTTCTTGAGTACTTTCCATTAGCCATGATATCTACTTGGAAACATTGGGATTCTGTAACCAAGAAATTAAGCGTGACACGATGAAATAAGCCAGAGGAAAACATGGTCAATCTTTCACACAGAATAATTTGACTGAAACAAGTAAATTAGCTCAGATCTACATGTACATGTATTTAATATAAAATTTGCCATTGAAAATACAATTTTATTAAAAGTTCAAAAGAGTTCATTTCTAACATCACGTTGCCAGAAAACTAGAACATTTTATAGAAAGTCTGATTCATTTTAAACACCGCATCCACTTTAATAATTTGCCATTGGAAATATAGTTTTTTGAAAAATGAAAGAAGTGACTGTTAATTTGTACAGCACATAAATTCTGATAAGTTTAATAACTATATGGTGTACATGTATTATAAATGACAAACACAATTACATGTACATTAAAGTAGGTGAATCCTATCCACATCATCTACGTTCATACCAACATCCATGACAGAAAACCTTATCGCATTTGCATAAATAATCTCAACAAGGCAAATTTGCACTTCACTGTAACACACATTGTTTTGATGTTCCAATGTATTTCACTCTCGAAGGTTATACGAAATGACAAAAACACTTCTAAATTGTATATAAATTCTTTGGAAGATTTGGAAACTTAAAACAAAGGGAATACAAATTCATCTTGATGTTTTATAATTACACATTGCACTCAGATGAATACATGCCTTTCGTGATTGCATGTGCTGTCCAAATCTGGTCTCAGATTATCATGATCATGACTAATCCTACGCATGCAAGAGTCATTTGACTATTAAAAATGTTCACATTTGATGTTTCCCATTTACCATCAGAAGCAATGAAATACACTACTTGTATAATCCTAATGACTGCAACTTTCTTAAAAGGTACATATGATTGTTTGCTTCTTGTGCCTTTACTTTCGTTTGAAGCAACAAAATTGCTAAAAGTCTGAAGCAGGGTGCATGACAACTAACCTGTTGAAGGTTGATTGGATAGTATACGTTTTAAGAAAACCGAGAAAATACATTCACTTTTTTGGGGTGTCTTGTAACTGGATTCCATTGCTAATGCATAATGTGCCGTGGACACCCTCTTTCAACACCACCTCAGTTTTCATCCACACGAAACAATTTCAGCTGGAATATTTTCATATTGTATTAGGTACCACTCCTATCTTGACTCTGAGCAGAGTTTTGTCATTAAATCAATTCTTCTCCAGGTCATTGCAAATGATGCACATGGCTTTGAGTTAAAGGGAATATACAACATTTGCAAACATCGAAAAATAAAACTACCAAGTTTTTGCGAAATACCTTAATAGGATGTTGGTAATGACAGTCTAAAGCATCCTGTAAAATATGGCACCTGGTATACTGTCATTTTCAAAAAGTGGTATTTTTGTATCAATTTCCAACGCTGATCGGCCGATCAGCGTTGGAAACAACTGGCTTTTTTCAAATACTGGCCCCAATTGACCATTGCACTTGTTTGCAATCGATTACAAACCCATGAACGGGTACGAGCCAGCTAGACTGGTTCCCTGACCTTACAATTCCCCAATGTATGTTAACTGCTCTGTTTCTTCTTATATGGAGTCGGGGAACCAGACTACAGGAATGATCGTTTTTCTTGGTTTTAGTAGCATTTTCAAACCTCCAAAAGTCAGTGTAACTATATTTGCTTTATATTTCCAACCCCCCAATTCCATCCATATCTGAAAATTACAAAAGCAAATGATGTATATTCCCTTTAACAGTGTTTCAATTTATCTGTGAATGTACATTGGTCCAGTAAATAAAACTTTCAGGTCCTGTTGTCCACAAAATTTTCACACAAAATTTGAGCCCTGCTAACAAACTCATTGCACAGAGTAAGATGTGACAATAGCTTGTAGATTGACAACTAGTCTCTGTGGTTTCAGTAAAATATATAAAAAAACATGTTTACATAATAAAATATGTATATTGCATTATTAATTTAGAGCACAAAATTGCATCATGACAAGTTCCAATTTAAAGGGAAAATACAACATTTGCAAACATCAAAAATTAAAACTACCAAATCATTTTGAAATACCTTGCTGGACTGTTAGTGAATGACAGTGTAAAGCATCCTGTGAAATCATGGCACCTGGTATACTGTCATTTTCAAGAAAAGTGGTATTTTTGTATCAATTTCCAACGCTGATCGGCCGATCAGCGTTGGAAACAACTGGCTTTTTTTCAAATACTGGCCCCAATTGACCATCGCACTTGTTTGCAATCGATTACAAACCTATGGACGGGTACGAGCCAGCTAGACTGGTTCCCCGACCTTACAATTCCCCATTGTATGTAAACTGCTCTGTTTCTTCTTATATGGAGTCAGGGAACCAGACTACAGCAAAATGATTGTTTTTCTTGGTTTTTATGGCATTTTCGAACCCCAAAACCTCAAAAAAGTCAGTGTAACTATATTTGCTATATATGTCCAACCCCCCAATTCCATCCATTTCTAAAAATTACAGCAAAAGCAAATGATGTATATTCCCTTTAAGAGTACTGATTTCAACAATGAATTAATCATTATTTTTTAAAAAATATAACACTGTCTCATTATTTTGTTACAATTGTTATATTATAATAATGCAATATATTTCATAATGCACTAATCGTCGGTTTCCCTTTTTGGTTTATTGGAACATTTGTTTGTTTATTTGAACAATCCTTTGTACTGATCCAGTGTAACCGGCACAAATTTGGACACCATGTATTGGTTCAGTTGAGCTTGCCATTTGGGGTCGAGATGCATGTTGAGAAGATGCCTGGTGATAGATGTCTTGAGATCCTCTGAGGAAAAAAAAAGAAGAATATTCAAAATGAGACGAGCAAAATGGTGGTTAATCTAAACGCAGACTCAAAACGGCAGGCTCTTGCAGGCCGTTCAAAGTCTGATACTGGCAAGCACGTAGATTGTCAGATCGACCTATGATGCAGGGTTCAACATTATTTAAATATCTACAAGCGTACTAAATATCAGAATCATGAGGCCCTTGTATGTCCTCATGTACACGTGTCAGGTCAGATCTTCTGTTTAAACGGTGGTCTGACTGTCTGAGGTACTGTCCTCTTCCACACAACAAATATCTTTACGCAAAGTATGTACATGTGTATCACTCATTTTATTCAGCATTCATAAGATGGATTTTGCGTCGGAGTGATGTAAATCAAATTAAGTTTTGCCCTTCACCGGCGTATAAACGGTTGGTACCTCCCGAGTGAAAGTTGGAAAAATCACTCGGGTGGGACTCGAACCCAAGACCTCCTACTTTCTAGTGCAGATGTCTTACAACTCAACCACCGAGCTAAGGGAATCAGTTGGCTGGTTCAAATCTGATGTACATATAGCAGCAGGTATAGCATTAACTATTCATAAGATGGAATTTTAATTTGGGGTTATGTAAATCAATTTAGGTTTGCCCCCTCGCCAACGTTTTTTTTCCAACTTTCACTCAGGAGGTAACACACTCATACAGTGTTTATACGTCGGGGAGGGCAAAACCTAATTTGATTAGAGTTTTATTCAGCATGCAGAGTCCTGTGGTCAAAAGGTTCCTGTGTTTGACTCATGCACGATGTTATGTTGAGTCAATCTTGACAGGGGACACGGTGCTGGTGTTCTTGGGCAAGATACATTACTACAATTGCCTCCATTGAGTACAAGTGGGGGGGGGGGGTGCAGACCAGATAGGGCTGATCTCGAGCTTATAGCAGCAAAGTGTTCTCATGGCCTGATGAACAGGGGTAATAAGTGCGAGCAATCTGAGAGTGTTGTATAAGAGTGCTATATGAACACTGCACTATGATCATCAAATAGCTTAACATCAGCACAAGGTGTTGGGCGACAATGCGTTCAAGAGTTCCCCCTAAACCTTTTCTTAAGAGGTATTACTGGGCAGTGTTGTAGGACTCGAGTCTAGGACTCGGACTTGAGTTGGACTCTAGTCACATTGGAAAATGACTCGGACTTGACCATGACTCCTCGAACTCGATGACTCGCGACTCGAGTCACGTAATTTCATCAAAAGTAAAAACCTAACGTAGGGATGGGAAAGGATCATTGAGGAATACTGTTTGGATGATAAAACATGGAGGGAAGGGTTGGAGGAAGATTTTTTAGGGATGGGAATTAAAAGGAAAACACATTTTGGCTGTAAACAAAATGTACACACACTACTATATACACTGGGATTTACTTAAAAGACAGAATGGAGGATCAAAAAATAATTTAAAAAAAACTATTAGTTCGGTGAACAAGTGACTTGTGTCTCGGACTCGGACTCGAGGCATGTGACTCGAGACTTGGACTCGGACTCGGACTCGATGTTGGTAACTCGACTACAACACTGGTACTTGGTCACAGAGTCCACTGTACCTACCAGGTAATTCTGAGTTGACCACCCAAGGGTAGACAGTGGTCGAGTGGTTAATGCGTCTGCACTAGGAAGCAGAAGGTTGGGGGTTTGTGTCCAAGCAGAAGTAAGCTTGTTGATTTTTTTTCTTGCAAACCCTCGGACAAAACTCAATGTGTACAGTGTTTGTAAAATACTTCAGGGAAGGGCAACAAAAAAAATACATATATGAAAAAGAAGATCAATAATTATATGGATGAAATTGAATAAAGTTGATTCCTACTTTCTAATTCACAATTTCGAATTTCACAACTATTCACATAGAATTGAGATGCAGACCAATTGCAAAGGAGTCTTCACAGATGTTTGTGTTACCCGACTGGATAATTTTACCGAAGAAACTGGCCTTGTTCTCTCCTATCTTTTCGAGTCCTCGATGGGTAATCCCGAATCCGCTCAGTGAATGGACGTCATTGTAGGCCCAAACAGATCCACGTAGGTCCTCAAACACTTTATATCTATCAATGAAATATATTCAATACAATTATGATTAGCATTGAAATATTTACATAGAATCAGGGGGGGGGGGGATGTCAGGGGAAGAAAAGGGGATGGGGATTATATTCCCCCCCCCCCCCAACAAAAATGGACAAACACACTTTCCCCTTCCCAATTGTCACATTTGTGGAAGACAGTGTTCTAGTGAAGGTTTGCAGTTTGCAGTAACACCATGTAGGCATGCAGAGTCTCTTTTGGGAAGATGTGTGGTTCTGAAAAGAACCACACATCTTCCCAAAAAAGACTTCTACATGGTGGTACTGCAAACTTTTACTAAACCATGCCACCACGTAATTAGACCAAGTAGTTAGCCCTTGCAAATTGTCTTGCAAAGATGTTCAATCAACAAAACTGAGAACATGACAACATCAACTTGATCGTAAGGCAAGGCAGAGACTGATTTCAAATAATATAATAATAATAACGTAAATTTATACTGCGCCATTATCTGTCATAAATGACACTCATGGCGCAAACAAACATTATATCAAATCAGAAATAACAAAACAATTAAATGTAACTAAACCAGAACATTCTGAGTGTTCTGAAACACATAGGTCTTTAGGGCAACTTTAAATTCAGAAAGCGATGAGATATTGCGAATGGCGAGGGGTAGTTTGTTCCAAAGATGAGGACCTGCGTGAGAAAATGATCGATCACCCCAAGATTTGTGAGTATGAGGGACAACCAGCAAAGAAGCATCAGAAGATCTCAATCGCCTGGATGGATTGTAAGGAGTTAATAGGTCTATGTTGTATTCAGGAGCTGAATCATGAAGGCAATGAAAAACAAACAGTAACAGTTTGTACTTAATCCGGTCAGCAATGACAACAACCCCAGAAAGTGAAGAAGAAACTCTGATCAGATGACAACCAACATTTGCCCAGGAAAAAAAAAAGGCAACTGATGAACAGAAATCAAATTGTGAATTGTGAATAAAAACTTCCATTTGACTTCATTCCTTATCAGATCAAATTGAATATCAAACAGAAGGGAATTACAGAATTGTTGTATGGGTAAATAAATCAACATCCAGGGGAAGAACACAATTCATTATGGGGAAAAGACAAGAAGGATTGATAGAAAAGAAAATCTCCTCCTTTTTTGCTGTTGTCTACATCTACATATACCTTTGTACAAAGTAAAATTAGTGCTTAAAGATGTTTTGAGTGAATGTTACTTTCCGTCATCAGTAACATGACCAAATTGAAACCAACTACCAACTACCTGCTCCTCCGTCCAATCACATTCATATACTGTCATTATCCCCAAAGCCATTTTCAGGATGTATTCATCAAGTTTATTCCCATGTGAACGGTTGAACCAACTACAGGATGTTAATAAAAAAACATGGATAAAGTATATCTTATCAGACTTGTATGACTCGTGACTCGGACTCGGACTCAAGTCCAACTCGAGTCACATTTTTAATGACTCGGACTGGGACTCGAGTCACTTTGTTTTACGACTCGGACTCGGACTCGGGGCTACGGACTCGGACTTGGACTTGAACTGACTTGTGACTCGATGGAAATTACCGCACTGCACACGCGCACATATATAATTCGATCGTTTTCTTTACTGTGCAATACATGTACAGGGCGCTCGATGTGGTGCGTGCGTGGCCGTGGCCGGTTACCGATATATTGACTTATAGAAATCAATGCACTGAAACTTGTACCCCGCCATCAACACGCAATACTGCATTGGTGCAAGATTGATAGGGTAAGGTACCAGACTTTTCTTGTCAGAAGTCCTGTCGTTCACACGTGTATTGCTGTCGCATCGCGATAACGCGATATGAATAGTCTGCTGATCTGCCCGTTTCGGTAACGTTACATGCAAGTTGCAACGTACGTAGATCATGATGGCATCCACTTCAAAAATTGTCAATTTTGGATATCTTAACATCAAGAGAAATGCCAATGGAAGATCAAGTGCAGAATGCAAGTTCTGCAGGAAGAAAATAGAGGAGAAAACCGGCACTACGCGTACATGTACGTCCAACTTCAATCGCTACCTTTCACGACGTCTATAGAACTTAGAAGTCTAAAAAAAGATATTTGAAACGCCTGAACTTCAAATGCAAAAGTTAGGCCAATACCAGTTTTGTCTGAATTGCCTTTATAACTGTTTTTGCAAATGAACTCCTCATTTCCAGAGAAAATTAGAGAAAAGCTGTGGGGAAAAATGAAAATTTACAGCACCTGAAATGTACGTATTTCCATACTATATCAAAGGTGACTCTGAATCTCTGAATTCCCTAAAATGTACGTTTTTTGATACAAAGAGGTGACTCGTGACTTGGACTTGGACTCAACCTTTGTGACTCTCTGACTCGGACTTGAACTGGAGGACTCGGGACTCGGACTTAGACTCGAGAAATGTGACTCGAATACAAGTCTGCATCTTATTGACTATTAACTGTGAAAATTTCACTTAAATTGCAAACTCTATTCCCAATTCATGTCTATTTCAATAAAACGATTGCAAAACTTGGCTGTCCACCAAAACTGTAACGTGCTGCAAACTGATAATACATCTCCCAATGAGGATAATGAAACATCAATTGTTTTCCCACCTCCATGAATGAACAAGAACTTGCAAAGGAAAAGATACAAAATCACCATCGATATTTCGAAGAAAAAAAGAGAGTTAACTTGCTTCTCATATTCAAAAAACACAACCTGATAGTAAAAATTCTCTTGATTTCAATTATTAAAATCTCATTTGTATTTGAATACTTGTGTGTAATCTGTAATTCTCACTTAGCTCATTTAGCTTTCAATATTATCGCATTCCTTGCACAGCTACACAAACAGGTTCTTTTTAGTAAAACATGCATAACTTTGGATGGCACGATCAAATTTAGTGATTGGGTTTTTTTCAGATGAGTGTAAGAACATGCTCTTTTAAGACATATTTCTTCGGGTGTATCTAATTTGATTGCTTAAGTAAAAAAACAAATCTTGAGTGCGGGTCACTTTTTTTTTAATCACCCTGTATAAACACAATGTGAACATGCATCTCTCATACACACTAAACTTAATTGTCTTCATTTTCTATCATCCTCTTTTTTTTCTGTCTTTTCTTCTTGTGCGGTAGCCCTCACATTGAGTGGCAGTTATGCCTTGTGAAGGAACGACTTGTATAAAAAGAACAATTACATGTACACAATACGCATGTTTAATCTGGAGCCAATCTTTAAAACTGAAACAAATTCAATTCTCAGATTTCATGTCAGTGCAAGTAGTGAAACTGACTAACTTGCATCTGCTTTGGTTACAGGAACTGATACCACAAGATAGTCACATGCATTAAAATCGGACAGAAATGTTGGGGGAAAAAGAAGGAAAAGAACAAGAAACTTTCTGTTTCAATTACACTTTGCTCAAGGTCTTACAATCTCTGTAAGTATAAATCTGGAGTGATCTTGAAATAGAGAAGAACATTCTTTGCTGCATCTGAACAACATGTGGCTCACGGAGCTCAATGCTACATTGTGCATGAACTATGGGTGATGACTACCAAAACAGCTCCACTCCATCAACTGGGTGGAAAACTGAAGTTGAAAAGCATCGTGAGAACTTTTACATGAGTGGAGAAAGAACTAAACAAATAACATTGTTAAGTGCTGAAATCATTGCACCAATCGGCCTCTGCTTAAACTTTGTCTTTCTATTCACAGTCATTCGAGTGAAGTCCATGCGTACAATCATCAACATCTACTTATCCAATCTGGCTGTGGCTGACTCCCTCTACCTTATGAATTACTTCATATTTGCACTGTCTTCACCTACAGAGTACAACTTGTTGGTCAACAATGCAATATCAAGTGGCCAATGCACGTTCATCGCTACTTCTAATTTCTTTGTGGTTACCATAGCAGCTGAGAGATTCTCTGCAGTGCGCAATCCTATAACGTTCAAAGAAAAGGCCTCTAAATCTCGAGCAGCAAAGATATCAGCAGGACTCTGGGTGCCAACAATTATTGTTGGTGTGATTCTGATTTTCGTACCATTAACAGAAGCTGTCTCCGATAAAGTCTACTGTTGGATTCTTTCCATTATCAACATTGTCTCTTTGATAGCAACTCTTGCTTTGTACATCTATGTAGTATTGAAAGTACGCAAGCAATCAGCCCTGTTGCCAAACCGTCCCAAGCAAGCAGGCAAGGTCCTCTGCATGGTTATCATCAACACTGCTGTTTTCTTCATTCTGAACTCACTGACCTTTGCAGCTGCAATTATGGCAATACATGCACGTGTAGTGTCATCCAATTATACTTCACCTGCTCAGATTGTTGCCAATCTGGAACTTGGAGAGACAATACATATTCTGACTATATGCATTGAAATTTTGCAACTGATCAATAGCTCAATAAATTCCCTGGTCTACAGTGCCACAAACGTTGACTATCGTGAAGCTGTAGTCAAGGCTTTCTCATTCCTGAAACTGTGCTGTCGTTGCTGCCCAAGACGGAATCCCAGCCGACCATCGCAGCCAGGAAAGCAGATTGAGCTTCGTGTGATTCCACAGGCAGAAAATGACCAAGAGCACCATGCTGCCAGGCCAAGCAGCAGCAAGCCACCAAGCACTGGACAGCTGTCACTGGACAGCTGTCAAGAACAATGTTCCAGGCAAAGCAGCAGCAAGGCATCCATGCACAGTCATCAGCATGTTCAAGTGCATGTTGAGGTACATGCAGAACCAGCAGGGACCCCAGCCCTTGCAAGTTCTCATCAGGAACAATGCTCTAGTCTGACTGACTGCAAGCTATCCATGCAAGGGGAACAGTGTGAACATCCAGAACCAGCAGAGAGCCAGCAGTCACTTGCAAGTACTCAGGAACAATGTCCTGGGCTGACTGGCACCGAGCCATCAGCACAAGGGCAGCAGTATGCACATCCAGAACCAGAAGGGATTTAATCTTTGGAAAGTTGTCAAGAACAATGTTCACTGGTACCTGATAAGTGCAAGCTGTCTTTAAGGGCAGCAGTGTGTAGAGTGAGTGCTGCTTTTGAACTTGCTGTGTTCAAAGTGTAGAGCAGATTTAAGGCCGTTTCATACATCTTCTTCATTGGAATGTCAAGTAGATTTGACATCGAGAAACATTAACAGCACATTATGCTGGAGTTGAAATGTGTTTTACTTCAGGGAATTGCCAATACATGTACGCACCATGACATCAGTAATGTGCAGGCCCGCCCAGAGCAGATTGCAACCAACTATCAGTAAAGGGAACAGCTGGTATTCATGCAATGTATGTATGTAAAAGGTTCAGAAATGAACAAATCCTAAATAGTTTAATTATTTGAATCAAACTTTTGTTCGTGTTTAAAGGTAGAGTAGATCATTTGCAGCTATCCAAAAAGTAACTGACAAAATTATTGCTAAAAGGCTTTTGGTTTTAATGGCACTAAACTCCCTGTGAAATCATTCTTTCTGGCATGCTGTCATTTTAAAGGAAACAATGAAAGAAAGCAATTTTTAACGATGCATCATGTTAGTTCATGTAGTTGGTTTGTAAATTCGGTGAATCCATGAATATGTGCGCACAAGCGTCGACACGACGCACACTAGGTTGCTATGATTCGTCAGTTCAGTGCATGACATCGCGTAGCTGCAATTGACTGAATGAGAATGTGTCCCTGGGGCTGAATTCAGACACAATATAAAACATGACTCAGCAACTTTTGAATTGAACCTGAGATCCTAGAGTATATGTTTGGAATATACTGCATTCACAGAGCTAAAACTTCATCATGTTAGTTGTTAAGCACCCGTTTTTAGATTTTGAGCACTTTTGTAGCTTCAAATGAAAAAAAAATGCACAAATGACAAATGATCTACCCTTCCTTTTAATGAGCAAGTTTGTTACTTTTTTCAGTGTGAAAATGTACAAGTAATGGTACTAACATATGGATAACCCTGAAAGTTCACTGGAAATAAAGAGGTTTTTTTTAAGTGCTTTTGAAACAGATTTGGAGGTTTTTGTTTTAGGAAATGCACCTCTGTATTCCAAGTCTTTGGATGTTTCAGGCTTTTACATATTTTTATGATGGTGCCAAGATGCATGTTCATGACAAATACAATGATGTCATGAGCTGGAACTTCAGTGTCACTGCTGTTTGAGGGGACAAAATGTAATATAAGTGTTTTGATCAAGTTTGATGTGACTGTTGCATTCATTAGCACATAGCATGCAGCCAATGAGATACTTAAATGTACAAACCTTTACACAGTATGTACAATGCAATCAATTTTAGGTTCATAAATTATACAGAAAATCCCAAAGCTGTGAAGTGTAAAATACCTAAATCGACATCACAGCAACATTAGAAACAATTGTGAACATGTGCACGGGCATTGCAAAAAAGTGTGCGTAAAATGTGGTCATTACTTTCATACAAACACAGGGCTAGGATATTTCATGTTTTAGTGAAATTCATTTTACAGCCTTTTGATGCTGTTATTAACAGACCTTGACAAATCCCAAGCATGGAGCACATTACATACATACTCCTATAAAAAGGCAAAAACTGTGTGGTTATTGTTATTGAGGGTTCAATGTTAGGGGAGCAAACTCACCGCAAATCCAAATTGTCTTGGGAGATTTTGGATCTCAATCTTGAAGATCTCTGAGGTGAAGTGCTGTAGTGTCCGATAGTGATTGGGATCCGTTATGGCAGCACCAGTCACTGGTACGTCAGAGGTGCTGGTGGAATGGTTATCTTGTGGGTCAAGACCTGATGCACAAATGAACAGATTAAAAGACCAACTCCGATTAGAGAGGAAGAAAAAAAGATTAAATTGGTATTTTTTGAGGTATATTAAAGTCTAAAATGGGCAAGATGAGATGTCTATGGCTATTGTCTAGGTCTTCACCCAAAACAATTACATAGGAACAATCTGACAATAGCCGTAGCCATAGCTCTAGAAGCCTGTTTCAGACACAGCCTAAGTAACAGATCAACAAAGTTGCAAGTTATGCATTAGGAGCATCTGATTCCAAATACATTACACAAATCTTTGTGCACACATCGTCGCTTTGCTCACGAAGTGACAAAAACCTCAAAAATCGATAATTATTCGATTTTGAGTTTTACTAGCCATTTCATTATAGTTGTCTCAAGGAACAATTTGACCAAGTTTCAAGGCAAAATATTGTTTACTTTCTTAATTATTGTAAACAAACAATTGACAAAAAGCCTGAAATCGGTGATTTTCATTTTTACAAAGTGTAAAATGTTCTCACGAAGTGACAAAGTCACCTCTTGAGCAGGGCCGGAGGAATTATACATTGGTCTACACGCGGCAGGATGGGAGCATACATGGCGCGCGAACGATGTTGAAAAAGAACAGACGCGCACGCGCTCAACTGTCTTGATGCGCAAAAGTAACAAGTTTGTTGCGTTGAAAAAAAAGTACAAATAAGTAAAGCCTCCGCGATTCATGATCCCACGAAGTGACAAAAACGATGTACAAAGTAATTGGCAAAATATGGGAGCCAAAGTACTGATGTTCTCACGAAGTGCAAACAAGTTTTATTAATGAATTACTGTTTAATTACGAACTATTTTTAACAAACAACTATGAATTAACATAGAGCAAATCATATCCTATCGGACAATGCAAAATTCAGAATTCCGAATTCTGATACTGCAAAGTGGTCGAAAATGTCTTTTGAAAAAATGAATAACTTCAAATGCGATTATCTCAGGATGAATTTTTGTCACATTTTGAGGTTTTTGTCACTTCTTTAGCAAAGCGACGACATGTTGCACAACGTGGAAAATGCTTTTTGAAGACCATTCTATCTTTAGCAAGGAGAAATCCATTGTATAGACTTTTTGCTGCAGAGCACAGATATATAATATACGAGACCATTGTAGGCTTTAGATGTACAGTATGGGATTTAAGTCTGGTGTATTAAAGGTGTCTTCACAGCTACTAGCTAGAAAAAAATGTAGTTGATCGTTAAAGTCAGCAATGTGTTCCCCACTTCTGTCAATAGAGCGTGCAAGTTGACTTCAAAAACCTAGGTGATTTTACTAGGTTTATCCAGTCAAGGGCAAAGAATGGGTTCTGAACAAGAAAAAAATCAATCCAATTTACAACACATTCAAAAAATATTGCAAGTTGCTTACTATAGTAAATTGAAAAAATGTGGACCTCCACTTCCGTTCATTGGGTGAATTGGGTGAATTCAAAGACGGGAGTCTGTGGCTAGACTAGTCAGTGTTTGGTACCAAGATGTCCACATGAAAAGTGAATGTGAACTGGCGAGACTTGCATGCTTTATAATTGTACATAATCTGTGTAGCACCACTAGTCTGTTGTATTACATTATAAGCTCCATGTCTGTATGATGTTTAAATGCAAAGCAATATTCTAATATTTCTTTTAGATGGACTCAAGGGTACCTCGAATTTGGGTAATTGAAAAATCAATGCTGTAAAATATGAATGTAGTTGTAAAGTTAGCATCATACAAGATGTATCTTAATTTGCACAGTATCCGAGGAATTGCTGCTTTTTATATGTTCATTAAAGCTGCTATTTCCTTGTGTAATTTAACACTCTTAACACAAATAATACAGAAATGTACTATCACCAAATCAGTGTTTGAGCTCTTACGTCTTTCTGATACCCAGTAATATTTGGAGAAAAAAAAGTTGCAGGACAAACCATGTTTCTAAAAGTCACACACTTTTTATAGGACAAGCAAATTTGCATGTAAAAGCAAGAGCAGTGATAAAATAATAAAATTGTACACTAGCAACATTTAAACAAACAGTGATTTTGTATTGAAAACCTAATTCTTGCTTGTACAAATGTAATTGTTGAAAAATCCCTACTGAGTAAAAGAGCTTGCTGGTCAATGCTGAAAGTAAAAACATATACCCTCAATATTCATTCCACAAAAGTAAGCCAACATATTGGTCAGCAAAAGGGATGACAAGGGTGTAAGTCTTTTGTGGCTTGTTTCTTTCTTTTCAATAATGAATTCCTGACAGACATAATAGACAATGCACAATATGTACAACGTACACCTGTCAATCTTTCTGTGTGTTGCATTCTGATTGGTTGGAATTGATCAGCATTAGCTTCCAATAGGCCACGCTCCTCGACAGCCAATCCAATCAAACATGAAAGCTGATCTACGTCTTTTACCAAAATGGAACATCAGAGGAAATACTTACCTTTGTTAGCGCCAAGCCAAAAACCAACAGTGTTATCTGTCAATGAAAATAAGAAGACATGATACTGAAACTATTGCACAATTTATCCAGGGCCAATTTTCATGTAGACCTGACAAAAAAAATTAGGGGAATAACTGAGAAAAAATCCTGGAACTTTCTGTTCAGCTTTCATAACAGGTGCATTAAGTACATGTGTGCACACTTTATATCCAGGCGAGGGGGTACATGTGAACGGAGTGCATACACACAAAAAATGAAGAGATTGTATAAATAAAAATAAATGCCAGTTTCACTCACCAATGCCATCTACATGTACACTCTTGCCGATGGTAAACTCACACTTGTTGCGATAACTCTCTAATACTGGCTGTGAGTGTGCAAACAAACAATGAAAATGAAAGGAACAAATCAGACATCTCCAATGTCAGGAATATTTACCCCACAAAAGATTCACATGCTGTATAGTTTATCTAACAAGAAATCCAGGTTGAAATATAAATTTAGTACAAGTAAGGTGACTCTATCTATCTACCCGAGTTCAAAGATCACACCAGTCAAGCTAACCTAACACTTTGTGCCAATGTGAACTATCATTGAGATTATAATTCATAAAATCATTCACAAGACTACAAATAAATTTAAATAAAATCTATATTTTTATCAACAAATATTTGTCACCTAGCTTACTCACCGATGGCTTAATTGGCTGCAACTCACATGCCATCCCACTGTGGTTCTTCCTGTCAATCAAATGAAGAGTGCACTATTAAACATGAGGGTGTGGGATCGAATCCCACTCCAACAGGCTTGTGAATTTCTTGTGGTAACCAAAGCTATATATGCACAAGATTCAAACTGGCCCACTAACCTTTGCAAGCTCTGTTATTGAGTTGTTAAGATGTCTGCACTAGTAAGCAGGAGGTCATGGGTTCATATGCAACCCAAGCAAACTTGCAGAATCTTTGCTTGTAAGCTCTCAGACAGCACTGAACAGGGGTGTGAGTGGAGTAAAAAAAAATAGCTGAAAATAGCTGAACCTGTAAATAACCCAATCTGCGAGCGTGAAGCGCGAAGCCCTTACGGCGTGGGGTCCGGGGCCCGCTCAAGGGCCGCGAAAAATTTTGAAATGTAGATGCTCTGTGGTGCATTTAAAAGCCCCCTGGCATGCCTGGGCCAACTATTGTTGGTCGAAAATGTTTTGCAATTTATGCATAATTTTTAGTTAACTTCAGTTCCTTCATATTGGTTTGAAACTGCCTAAATGGCCAACTTGTATATGAAAACTGGGAAATTCGACCACGTTTTCCATATTTTAACTCCTTACTGCAGATGATATCGTCATCGCGTGTCCCGCGCGGCTTCTGTTCGAGTCGCCCAATTTCTGCCCATTAACCATGTGTTCCATCCAAATCCATTTCCACGGATTCGTAACCTGAGGATCGGTCTTGTCAATGTCCGTATCAAACTCCGAACCTCTTTGGATAATAACACATTTGTGTTGCACCACATCTTGCGGAATTAATAATGTCAAAATACGTTCGAAACATTTGAAACGACACACTAACGTACGTATCAGCATGCAGCGGAATACGCAGCAGGATGCGTGCATGCAATGAAATGCACACATGAACTTTGCCCCGCATGATGCCCTCTACCGGCGCGGCACGGCGACAATTTACTAGTCTTATTTCAAAGCTTTATATTTGCAACAAGACGATGTTTACAGCGAGTTATTGTGGAGATCATCGCATTTCACTACATGCATAGACACAGGAACGGCCGCAAAGAGTCCCAACGCGCTTCATGGCGCATGTGTGAATATTCATATTTACATGTATCTGCAGCCAATCACAGCGCAATGACTGTTGGTTCCCCGGATGCTGTTTACACGTTGTGTACACACGCGGCTTCGAGCTGAAAAATGCATGCACATGGCATCGTATAGTAGTACACACGTACGTACGTACGTACATGTACAATGTACATGTACATTGAATACTCGCTTGCACGCACCCCATCCCAGAGTTACGTGTATGTTGTAGAGAGCGGATCGCGCCCGTGCGTTCGGCGGAAAATAAAATAAACGGAAAGAAAATTAATGCTTACGCGCGGGGGAAAAAGCGGGGGGAAATCTGGACCATTGGAAGAAAAAAAGCGAAAAACAAAATGTGGCACGCTGAACAAAAAAGTGGATATCCGCTAAATAGCGGAGAATTCACACCCCTGACTGAATATACAGTGCATTCAAATTTACATTGGTGAAGGGAAAAACCAGGTATTCACATTCACAACTCTCCTACGTAAACAATTAATTAAACTCATTGATTGTGGCACCTGCTATATCAGATTGGAACCAGCCAGCCAACCCCAGCAAGCTTGATGGTCAAGTAGTTGAGACATCTGCACTAGGAAGCAGGAGATTGTTGGTGCGAGTCTCATTCGATCGGCTTATGAATTGTGAAGTTTTGGTTTTGTGTTCATTTTTCTGCTTTTTGTTTGTAAACGTTTTTTTTACCAACTACCCCCCCCCCCTTTAATCTTTGGGACTTTTGTGTGTGGAAAGGAAGTTTATTTCAGAAGTTGGCCCAAAGCTTGCTGAGTTTTAATTGATTCTCAAGAAAAATGAAGCATCATTTCTGGACTTTTAATGAAATTTCAGGGCAGCTGTACATGTAAGTCCACTTGCCAGAAAACTGTGTCTGGAAACAGTTCCTTGTCAAGGAAGATCACATTTCCATTCTGGCCCACAACCATCCCGTGTCTTTGGTGAGTAGCTCACATTTGTTGCTTCAGCCAGGGAGACATCTCCCCAATGTTCCGTTGCAGCATCTTGGAAATTCCTCAGAAACTCCCTGGTGTTGGTCTATTTGGTGGATAGCTGGTCCTCATACGGCTGGTTCCACAGTGGAGTCAGCATGTTGTTTAACCTGCAGATTGGGAAAAGATGTGAAAAGCACATTCAGTATTCCAGAGTCTTAACAAATTTAGGAAAAAGTGAATAGCTCAACTGCTATAAGCCTTTTGCGATATATGGCAGACACAATACAAGGGTGTTATTTGATTTGGGTATATTGGGGTAACTTATGCAAAAGACTAGACCCAAACCAAATAGCGCCCTCGTATTGTGTGCACCGTACCTCCAAAGGGTAATGAATTGTGTATGGAACTTGTCATCTTTCTACATACAACCATTCTCCTAACTTCAGTTCATAGTTCTGGTGGTGCATTGCAAATTAAAGTTTAAGCTTGAAACAAAGAGGATAATGTGTTCAAGTTAGACAGTTTATCAGATAAAATAAGAATCATCTGTAACTGTGAATCGCACACACACTCTACACAGACATGCCACCTTTAATGCTGTACCTTCTAGGAAAAAACAAGGAAAACTGTCCACATAACAGTTTTACTCAACAAATGCCGGATGAAGTACTAAATTTACTTAAAGTTCTGTGCTATTTTCGAGTTTCATCCCAAAAAACAGATTTCCTTACCAATCTGCTTTTTTTTTTCAAGCAATACAAAAGTTATTCACTTTTGAATGAAACACCAAACACAAAAAAGCTCACGTTTAGTTATTGAATTATTACTTTACAATTCCAAATTATTGGCTGCCAAACATAATTTCTGTTCTTGCTGGGTAGGCTGGTTCCCCCCCCCCCCCCACAATCAGTATCAATAATGTACGGACGGGAGCCAATCTGTTGGCAAAGCTGGTCATCAGTTTGGGCCAAGAACAAAAAGAAAAGTTCATGGGTAATTTCTTAGTATAACATTTCGTCACCGACACCACGAACTGACACCTGGTGATCAGCGTTGCAGAAATACAAATCGGAGAAAAATGCTTTTAAAGGTTTGACACGAATTTACTCACTAAAATAATCCATCTATCTAAGAGGTTTTGGTATCACTTAACGTGAAAATGCTTAAACTACTCAATTATAGACGTTATATTGTGAAAATCTGCTTTAGTTAATTAGCAATTAAATGATTAAGATGGGTGTCAGTTCGTGAAACCCAAAATTTATGTGTTTTCGGAGAGTGCACCCATGCAATAGCGTTAGTGAGTGTCACTTCGTGAAACCTAAATTGACGCGTTTTGGGAGAGTGCACGCACACACTGCGCATGCGCGCACTCTCCGAAAACACGTTCATTGTAAATCTTGGTTTTCACGAACTGACACCCTGTGCAGGGTCACTTCGTGTTAACAAAAAATACCAGAATTGACCAATTTCTTGAAAATTCACTAGTAAAATTTGCTTATTTTAGATGATTTCAGCAATTTTAACTTTGTCATGTGAAACTTCATGATACAAACTGCTTATACGTGAATTTTACATGCAAGTACACTTTCAATTTCAAGCAAGAGAGTGTAGGAATGCCATGGTTTCAAATCTTTGTCGATGCAGTGACTATTTGTATCTGTATTTTAAATGTCTTTCTTGATTATCCAAACACCAAATCTAAAGCTTGTGTCAAGATTCTAAATGTGCGATATAAATAAATATGTTGTAAGCAAAATGTAGCGAACGACCTGATTGATTTTGTGTCATTTTTTGATCTGCATCTAATTTTATTCAGTTATAGATAATTGAAGCGTTACGTTATGTCTGTGATCTTTTATGAGCTGTAAAACTCTGTAAAAAGTGCACAGTGCCATTTCACTTTTTTTAAGCAACCTAGATATGAGCAAAACCGACGGATTACACAATGTACATGTAAAAAAAGTCTTGAAGAGAAAATAAAAAGTTATTCTGAAGCACATCTATGCCAAAGTCAACTGAAAATCTATTGTCTACTTTGGTTTAGTATGTATTCAAAACAAGGAACAAAGAACTAATCCTTACAAATCTTAGAGATAAAAAAATACCGAGGGGAAAAAAAGCAGAAGCTTTTTGTTTCAACTTTGCTATTAGTATAAACCTGGAGTGATCTTGAAATAGGACAGAACACTCTTTGCTACATCTGAATAAAATGTTGGATATGGAGAACGATGAAGTTGAAAAGCACCTTGAGAACTTTATCAAGACTCACAAAAGAAATTAACAAATACTATGGTTAAGTACTGAAATCAATGCACCGATTGGCCTTCTGTTAAACTTGGTCTTTCTCTTCACAGTCATTCGAGTGAAGTCCATGCATACATTCATCAACATGTACTTATCCAATCTGGCTGTGGCTGACTTGCTCTTCCTTATGACTCAATGTATATTTGTATTGTGTTCATCCGAAGTGTACAAAGCATTCCAGAGTGTCAAATAAAACCCGGGACATACCGTTATTTCGTTTTACCGTTTTGGATTTCCTCAAAACCAAAAACAGTAAACGAACCATTGACCGTTTTGTCGTTTTACAGTTTTATAAAACGACAAACAGTATTAAGATAAATACGGTTTATCCGTTTTATAAGTTTAGGAAAATTCATTATAGCACAACGATCCATTATTTTTGTTTTACAGTTTTACACAAATAACTTTGAAAAACAGCAAAACGGTCAGTATTGAATACACACTGTTTTTTATTTTAGTGTCATAGTTAACAGTCCGTGGTGCATTTTGTGGCGGTGGGCAAGGGGGTGGAGGGACCCTGCTTTACACGAGTGTTGGCTCGGCATAATTAATGCGTGGTGTGATTCCTGGCGCGGACCCTGACCCCTTCTCATGGGATTCAGTTGGTGGGGCTTAAAGAGTTGCAAGCAAAAATGGCGCTGGAAAACTGCAAGGGAGGGCATTACTTTTCGCAATGGATACAGGATGGTAAGATGTTTGATGAAGTTGCAGATATTTTGAAGGAAATTGGAGTTTAAGTCGACCCGGCTCTTCAATAGCTAATTCGCAAATTCTGTCGTGAGAACGAAAATGTAAGGAGGGCCCAGGCAATGACTCAATCCCAAGGACGCATTAACATTCCTAGGTGCATTGCTTAATTGCCAAACCTAAATCCAAAAAAATGGTGGGCAAGACTATTGACCGTTTTGTAATTGTCATGATTTTGTAAAACAACACTCTAAAAATAAAGCAACTAACCGTTTAACGCTTTCTACAATTAAAAACAACAACAAAAAGTATTTTTTGTGTGTCGACTTAATACCGTTTGACCGTTTTACAAAACTGTAAAATGACAAAACGGTCAATTGTTCGTTCACGGTTGTTGTTTTTGAGGAAATCCAAAACGGTAAAACAAAATAACGGTATGTCCTGGGATTCAAATACATATTTGTTGCTGTTTGTAGTTATTTTGTAGTGATCATAGCAGCTGAGAGATTCTCTGCAGTGCGTAATCCTCTGACATTCAAGGAAAAAGCCTCTAAATCTCGAGCAGCAAAGATATCAGCAAGACTCTGGGTGCCAACAATTATTGTTGGTGTGATTCGGATATTCTTGCCAGAGACTGTCTTTAAAAACATCATTTTTTGGATTAATTTCGTTACCAACACTACCTGTTTGGTAGCCACTCTTGCTTTGTACATCTTTGTAGTAGTTAAAGTGTGCAAGCAATCAGCACAGTTGCCAAATTGTCCCAAGCGAGCAGGCAAGGTCCTCTGTATGGTTATCATCAATACTGCCATTTTTTTTTCATTCTGAACTCACTGAACATTTCAGCTGCAATTATTTATACTCTGGGGACAACTTATACTTTGCCTTCAGACTTCAGACTTATCAATAATATCAATCTTTGATGCAGAAAGCTGTCATTTTCTTGTGTCCTGGCTGCATTTTCTTTATGTCCTCGCATAAATTTATGAAATATTTTTGGTCGCCGTAAGGTCTCCTATGAGATCGCATATAATGTGACAGGCCCTTAACACACTGAGTAAACAGTGTATATATGTCGTAATATACAACATATTATCAAGAATAGAAACGTATTTTACTTTAAAGTAGGGAATTGTCAATACTTCCTGTGTCATTAGTAATGTGCAGGACCAGAACAGATTGCAACCAACTGTCAGTGTCACATTCCCTGGTTTGCCCCCCCCCCCCCCAAGAAATATGACCCTCAGAAGTCTGGTACACCCGTCACACAAAATAAATTGTCACACAAAATAAATTGTCAATTTACTCGACAATTTATTTTGTGTGACGGTGTACCAGACTACTGAGGGTTATATTTCTTGGGGAGGACCAACCAGGGAATGTGACAAATGGGGGCTCGTTCGGGAAATGAAAAAAACAAATTGAGAAAAGCCGGTAGTCTCAGGTGTGTGGTTATACAGGATAGATGTTCAAGGTGGTTTATGGAAGCCCTTGCTAGGCAGCGTGCATTGAGAAGCCAAAATTGCGATGCCTATAGACAGATTATCATGTCATGTTGGCAATTATGTAATGCGCACTAAGTCACATGGAATCAAGCTGTTGTTGCGTAAGTTAGGTATTTCTGGAATCTCCCCTCACAAACGCACTTGCGCTAGGATTAGTTTGATAGTGCTTGTATTGTTCTTGTTCATAGGGCTATCTAGCTCAATATGCAAGTGTGGAAGTAACAGAACGAACCGATGAAGAAACAGGGCAAGAAATACAAGAAGTTGCTGGGTGCATAACCAAAAAGTCATCACTATCAGGCCTCGATCTTTACCGCGGCCACTGCGGCCAATGACCGCATGCCCTTCCAACTTGGCCGCAATGCCCCTTCAAAAAATACACATGTCGCGGCCAACTCGGCCACATGCCATTTTGTCATGTTTGTATTTTACCTCTGCATGTCCCGTCATGACAATCATACATCACAGATATTGTGTAGAGGATCTGTGCATACAAACACCATTCAACAAACGTCTAGTCGCGGCGAAAATAATACACGTCTTTTTATGGTTATCGTTGTTGTGTTCGTATGTACGTTCACAGGCGGGTCATCTCATACACCATACCCCAGCGCGCAGCCCTTCCCGATCTCCCGGCTACGGCCCAACATACGGCGCGGTGCCACTGT